TAAAACTGCCCGGTCCTGCAGATTTGCTTTATTCAACATTAGGAAGATCAGACCCTTTCTTTCAGAACATGCTTCACAACTCCTCGTTCAAGCTCTAGCTCTATCCAGGCTGGACTATTGCAATGCTCTCTTGGCAGGTCTTCCAGCCACTTCTATCAAACCTCTACAATTAATCCATCAGTGGTTTGAGTCTTACCTCTCAGATAGGTCCTTCAAGGTATCTTGGAGAGGTGAGGTGTCCAAGTCGCAACATCTATATACTGGGGTGCCTCAGGGCTCAGTTCTTGGACCACTTCTCTTCTCTGTCTACATGGCATCATTAGGTTCTGTCATTCAGAAACATGGCTTTTCATATCACTGCTATGCTGATGACACTCAACTCTACCTCTCATTCCATCCTGATGATCCGACGATAGCTGCTCGCATCTCAGCATGTCTAACAGACATTTCTTGTTGGATGACGGACCATCACCTTCAACTCAACCTGGCTAAGACAGAACTGCTTGTGGTTTCAACAAACCCATCACTTTATCAAAATTTCACCATCCAGTTAGGCTCATAACTCCTTCAAAAACAGCTAGAAACCTTGGAGTTGTGATTGATGATAAGCTGAATTTCTCAGACCACATTGCTAAAACTGCCCGGTCCTGCAGATTTGCTTTATACAACATTAGGAAGATCAGGCCCTTTCTTTCAGAACATGCAACACAACTCCTTGTTCAAGCTCTTGTTCTATCCAGGCTGGACTATTGCAATGCTCTCTTGGCAGGTCTTCCAGCCACTTCTATCAAACCTTTACAATTAATCCAGAACGCTGCAGCAAGATACATTTTTTAACGAGCCGAAAAGAACGCACATCACACCTCTGTTCATCAATTTGCACTGGCTACCAGTAGCTGCTCGCATTAAATTCAAGGCATTAATGTTTGCCTACAAAACCACCACTGGCTCTGCATCCCTTTACCTAAATTCATTACTTCAGAGTTATGTGCCTCTAGAAGCTTGCGTTCTGCAAGTGAACGTCGCTTTATTGTTCATCCCAAAGAGGCACAAAATCACTTTCACAGACTTTTACATTAACTGTTCCCTCCTGGTGGAATGACCTGCCCAACTCAATCCCAGCAGCTGAGTCCTAGCCATCTTCAAGAAACGACTAAAAACACATCTGTTCCATCTTTATTTGACCCTCTAACTCTAGCACGCTCTATTCTAATTCTATTCTTTATTTTAAAAAACTTGCCCCTTTTAGACTTTTAGACTCTATTTATTTACTAACTGCTTGTTTTCTTTAAAAAAAAGTAACACTAGCTTCTCTAATTTTTTTGTATTCTATATTTGTTTTCTTTTTATTTATTATACAATTAACAAAAGCAAAAAAGGCCTCCAACTCTAGCTTGCTCTATTCTTTTTCTATTCTATCGGTTTTCTTTTTATTT